AGATACGCTTCTGCCAAGGGGCCCTGGGACGAGTGCTTCTAAAGACACCATAACTATACTTTCTTCTTCTGCTTCTTCTTTTTATTATTAGAATTAGATGTGTGGTGGGGAATCCTGGGCCTTTTGTTCCATTCCTTTCCAAGTCTTTGTTTAAACTAATCTTAATTAATTGTGATTCACATAGACAGAGTCAATTAGGAAATTAAAGCGCTGTACAGATAAATGTCCCAAAGGACCCAGGGCTGCCTCTGCCTGGGTCACAATTAGAACAGCAGACTTGTGATTGAGGTTAGGAACTCCAGATGGGGAAGAGTGCCAGATGTGTCATTGTGTCGCTGACTTGTCTGTCTGCCTTGTTCCTTTTTTATCTTGCAGAAACCAGTTTCCTTCTCGGGAATGCCCAGATTGTGGAGTGGCCTGTAGTGTATAGTAATGACGGATTCTGCAAACTGTCTGGGTACCACAGGGCTGAAGTCATGCAGAAAAGCAGCACCTGCAGGTAGGGCATGAGAGAAATTCTGCCAGCCAGATATTCAGTCCCATTCAAATCATTCGGACCATGTCCCCAAAACCAATGCTAGGACTAACATAAAAACAAAGGTAGTCTAAAATCAAGATCATGCTCTTGTCACAAATGTAGGAACCGCTGCTGTGTGTGGATGCATACAGTATAGAAGATGGAAATCACACACAGGTGGTATTTGGGTCAGGGCTGAAGTTTTGAAATACCTCACTTATACAGTATATGTCCAAGACTAATGTTTCCTGTACACACAACAGGCCCCTAAGGTCGAACACAACACTGGCTCGGTTGTGTCACAGCAAAGGAACATCTTTGATACTTGTGAGGAGATGCAAAAATGAGTGTTTTGAGGCCATTGGTGAATGAAAATACCCTTGTTAATTCACCAGGGGATGTTGCCACAAAATTCCACTGTATCTCAATGGGGAAGGGAATTTTTATTTTTCATTCCTTGGGCTGTGTTTATGGAAATCCTCCCATACCCATGTACACAGAGCTGTCTTAAAGGCTGGGAGTGAGTGTCTTATTGCACGCAGTTTAACAGGCAAACTGCGCTGAAGTCAGAATTATAACACAGATGAGTGGAAGGGCTGGAAGGACTCAGGAAAGTGTGGAGACTGAGCTGGTACGAAGTCATCACTCACCAGCGTGGCAAGAAATAATCAGAGCTGTAATCCCCTTCACAAAAAATACAGTACTTCCCATCATCAGCTGGGGTCAACTATGCCCGCAGATCACTATGCCCACAGTAATCACATCTACAAGAGATGCAAAAAAAAAAAGATTTATTTTTCCATAAACAAGATGTCTCTCCCTCCATTATTCTTTACATTCAGTTTCCCAATCTGTACACAAGAATGTTCCCAACAAAGTGCAGAGTAATATTTCTATTACAGAAAGCTTTTCTGCCTTTCATTTCAAATGTGTGCATTAGTGTCTGTGTGACCATCCATTCCAATCACTATGGGGACAAAGTCTGCGACAGTGTCCCCCACAGAATAGGACAACCAGACAGGAATATCCGCATGATAAAAAGTCAAATATCATCTTCTTAGCATGCCCCAAAACCTTTTTTTTCACTGCTTGTGGAGTTTCCTTTCAGTGGAATACAGAACAGTAAATGACAGTCAATGGGCAGCCCTGGAAAGACAGATGTGCCAATGGGTGTGTATGAGGGTGGATGTAGGAGTGGTCTTTTTGGAAGGCAGGCTTGTCTGAGCACAGTCCCAGATTAAATCTGCTGGAAGATCCCAGGGTACATGTTACTCTCTGTGTAGTACAAGAACGCCAGTGTAGTACAGCCACAGAACCCTGAGGTGACTTTCCTTCACCTCACTTGTTCTGTGTCTAAATCTTCTCTGGGGCTGAATGGCCAGGTGGGCAAAATGTGCTGCTACACAGATGGCTACGTTTGTGTCCTTGAACTAACCCTCTTGTCAAGTAGTTCCTCGGGTTCTTTATGTGGAGCAGAAAAAAAAAATTCAGCTCTTAAATAAAAGCAATTGCCTGCTGATTATTTTTTTATGAGGATCATTCTGTCACCTCTCATTTTTAGTCACAACGACACATTTAAAAAATAATAATAATACAGAGCACAAGCACAAAGGCTTAAAGAAAGCATCAAAAGTTTATTCTGAGTTTTGTTGCCAAAGGAAAAGTGTGTTTTATTTTAAACAACTGTTTTGTTTTGTTTTTATTAACAGGCACATAACCAGATCAGATTTATTGTGCATGACAATGAGGGTAATTGGGTGGAAATTAGATTCTATAGCAAAATTAATTAGGAGGCCACAGCCGTAATATTGACCCAGCTTAAATGTGACATTGGAACTGTTCCCTCTTCAATAAAAAGATTGAATGCATCTTCAGATGGTGGAATTAAAAATTAATAGAAAGATACCAGTAAGTCTATTTTAGATGACAGATGTGCTCTGCTTGGAATATCAGACTGGCATGAGTTTCAGTGTAGGAAACTGAGACTAAGCTGGGGAGATTTAACCAGCAAATGAAAAATGACATTCGCTAAGGTTCAGATCCTTCTGTAGAAGCTTTATACGGTCCATAGTTCATATTTTTACATAATAAAAAACAACATCATTTATTCCATGAGGGCATTTTCTACTTTTTATTGGCTTAGCCTTTGCCACTCCATTTATTTTGTAAAAATGCAGCATGTGTGTTTGGATATGACAGTTTTCTGTCATCTCCAGGCAAAATGAATTTCTGATGACAAGACGGGTTAGCGTGATGTTTGAATAACACAGGTGTGTGGCCTGCTTTCTCTCTCTCTTCCTGTAGTTTTATGTATGGTGAGCTGACTGACAAGAAGACAATAGAAAAAGTCAGGCAGACCTTTGATAACTATGAGTCCAATTGCTTTGAAATCCTGCTGTATAAGAAGAACAGTAAGTATTCTAATGCATGTCACCTGCAATTACGGCACATTAAAGGCTTTTATGCAATAAAATCAACGTATTTTTTTTCCTTTGTGCGCTGCATTACAGACAGAACAGCATAAACTATTTCCATAAGCGTCAGTTTGATTTAAAAGTTTTATGTGAACTAAACCGTTCTTTGTCACCCTTCAAGAGCATATCTTGCTAGGTTATGACCATAGAAAGCACAAAAAGAATTAATTTTGCTTTTAATTTAGTGGTAATATTTCAAAAGATATGACTTTACTTCTTAAGTGTTCTGTCTAAGATAGATTTGCAAAGCTACAGAAGCTGGCTGTGGTGTAAGGTGCTATAAGGGTGTAGGAGTCAGACTCCTGTATAGTCAAAGTAAGAGAACTATGTGGTGGTTTGGAGCCTAAACTTCAAGCCCTCTTCCACCAGGTGCTTTTCTGGGCCAGCACCCTTGGGATGCACTGCAAAGCTGGGTTTTATTTTGCAATATTTTGCAAAGACATCACATTAAGTTATGTATTTTGAAGCCTGGTACTGCTGGTCTAATTTGGGCTGACTAGGGCTGATTTCACTGCAGCAGAAGAGGTACTTCAGCCCTCTGTAGCCTATGCTATTGCATGCTGTAAAGGCGTGAGTGGGCCTACTAAAAACAATATTATCAATGTACAGTACCTTGACACCCTCTTTCTTTTCCCTCTGTCTCTCTTCAACCCCCTCTGCCCCAAAAGGGACACCTGTCTGGTTCTATATGCAGATAGCACCCATAAGGAATGAAAATGACAAGGTGGTTTTGTTTCTGTGCACTTTTAAAGACATCACCGTTTTCAAGCAACCGATTGAAGACGAGTCAACCAAAGGTAGGCTCTGATTCTGATCACACCCCAAGTAATGACTTACTGAATAAATAAATCCTGAGCAGAGACACTCATGGGAATATACCATATATTAATTTTTTTTTCCAACAAAAGGAGCCAATGAGGAAGTTGAAGAAAAAAATGAATTGCATGAAAGGTGAATAATTAATAGCCTATAGATTAAGTTGTTTTTATTAAAAGAGAATTCAACTGATAGATACGGTACGATTGTCGGCCTTTCACTTTAAGGTTGTGTCTGTGTTCCTGGTCATGTGTAGCCACATTTCTGGCATGTGTACCCTCCTGACAGACTCGCGCTCAGAGTATGGCATGTAAACACCCTCTGCTCAAAGCTCAGGGTGCCCTGTGACGCAGTCATCCAGCTGTGAATTGCATAACCCCGTTGATTGGGGCTCCAGACCCAGCTGAATGGTTGTCTCTTTGCTCCGGAATTAATGTGGAAATAGCCAGCAACAATGTATCTAGGCAAAAAAGACAATATGTTGATGAGTGCATCTGTTGGAATAGTTTTACTAGAAGGGCTAGAGGGGAGCAGAATACCTCTGTGGATCTTCTGTGTCTCTTAATACAGTGCAATCCCTTCTACAGGCTGCAGCTGGGCTTCTGTTTCTGAAAGATACTGCCTGTTTGTCAGGGATGTACCAGTGACAGGCATACCCTACCCTATTATATATTGAGGTAGATTTATTTCTATAGACCTGTTGGCTTTCTCTATATTATTTTAGATATTAGGGCTTTTCATTTTTAAAATCTGAACTTTGTGTGAGAAATCTTAACATAAGAAAATGGGAAACGTTCCAAACGAGTGGAAGGCAATTAGCCAGTCTAAACTATTTGGTAATCAGTAACTAACTGATCCAAGGATATCATCTAGAGGGTTCTTGAAAGATGTTTCATGTGTTTACTACCTACATGAAGCACTCGGTCACTTGTCACTATGCCAGAATCTAGATCATTGATTTAGAGTAAAATAGAAAGAGCAGTGGTACTTGTATAGATCCCTGCAGAGCATTCACCCCTTATCTGTACTCTCTCTTTTCTGCTGAATACTCTGTAAGTGTTAATGTTGACTATCCCCTAAGATCATACTGAATATCCATATAGGGCATCCTTTAGTGTCTAATAAATGTTTCCATAACTTTTCATATAATAGACATATGACTTATTGGGCTGTAATTTCTTAGTTCTGTTTTCTTATACTTCTTAAGGATAAGCACTACATAAGCAAATCTCCTATCCAAACATACACTACACCTGTCTGTATTGACTCATGAAAGACTTTGGTCAGTAAATGTTGCTTCCTTAAGGACAATTAGTAGGATACAATCAGGCCCAGGAATTTATTCATCCTGGGTGTTTCTAGTACCTGTAACACTTTTCTTTAGTGATGATAAAATCATTATCAGAATCTCTTAATGAAGAACTTTATCCTTTCAGTGCCTAAGGAGCACAATATTCTAATAATGGTTTGATATCTTTCAATGTTTTTGAATTATGATCAAAAGTGATTTACAAAGGCCCTGCTATTTTTGAGAGCATTTTTTCTGCTTTCCCAAAGTTTACACGATGAAATCCAAATCTAAAATAACCCCACCTCTCACCACACAAACAAACAGCTCTAAATATTTTATATGTGCAGCATTTTGTATTTTACATAGTCGCACACTGCCCAGTAGCTTTGAAACTGCATTTGAAACAGTAATGGCACTTTTTGTGAGTGGCATATAGCCGGTGTTTTTGGATGGATAGATGTATTTACCTTCCTAAGCCCTTAAATTGGATATAAGAGGAACCATTAAACTTGGATTGTGCATCATTTAGCCCCTCAGTGAAACTGCTCACTCAACAACATTGTTGTGCTGTCATCTTACATCTGAGGAGCCATTTGTCACAGAAAAGTTACGTAAGAGGCTAAACGCTCTTCCAAACAGACAGGTCTGGAGGTACAGAGATTTTTGTACACATTACCAGGTCATGACAAAGTGGACACAACTTGTAAGTAAAATATAGCGTGCATTCAAGCTATATTTAAATTTAAATGCTGTAATTCATTAGAATCTATCAATATAATCCAATGATTTTTGAAAACCTGTTAGATTAGAGGTTTTATTTAAAGATTTTTGCATTCAGTTTTTGCATTGATCAAAAATGTAAATTTCACACAGTTTATACACACCTACCTCTTGTTACGCCACTGCATTGTATATTGCATTGTGCACCACATGTGAAAGGACACAATGTTCTTTCTCCACACCTCTAGAGAAGAACAAAGACTATCATTAAGATTTTCATTAGGACGTAGGTGAAATGAAATGTTATGTAACCTATGGGCAATCCAGGGAAATCCTCCCCACCAACACATACACACACATCAGCACAATGAAACCGAAATAGATTGGGAGACACAGCAGCCAGAAAACACAGCTTGATTAAATTCACGATACAACCCAGTCTGGACAATGAAAAGAAAATTTACGATATCTCCTATAAAACAGAACCAATAGGAGATGCTCTCTGTAGAACTGGAGTGACAATCCACTTAATTTATTATCTAAAAGTACGCCTGAGTAATTTTATGCTTTTACATAATCACATTGTCTCCAAAGGCTTTAAAACATATCCTACTGTCTATTCTAGTATTCAATTAATCGAAACTGCATTTCAGCAGAGCAGGCAGGGGGTATCCATACTGTCCAACACCCTTTTCTTAATTGAATCCACGCTGTGAATTAAAGGTATGCCTATGGACGAAGATAATAAATTATATGCATGCACAGCTCATGAAGATCAGCAAGGGTAAAATGCAGTTATTCTCTCCTCACTGTCCGAGCCCGGATGTGCAAGTGGTGCTTGCTATAATGGATCTGTCAAAGAAAGCACCCTTGAAAGCACTACCTTGAGATCTGCCCTGAGCTGGAATGAATCTGATCCCAGTGCAAACAAGGAGACTTCCTCAGGGTCGAGTACAGTGGATTAGTAATGTGTACAGTATATCCAGATGTGTCCAGCTGTTGATGGACACACCCTTCGTGCCATCTTTGTCCACTTCCCCCTTAGGAGGTCTATAATACATTTAAGTAATAGAACCTCAAACTTAACAGTATTTGAACATTTGTTTCTGCTTTTAGTCATTTGGTTGTTGTTAACAAATTCACAAGGATTCCTCATTGTTGAGGCTGTTCCATGGCCATTAAGGAGCTGTCTTGTGGTGTTTGTCCATCTTCACACTCAGACAATAATGTATTTTACAGTCAGAAGTTGTAAAACATTGTTCTGCCCCCCTGGGAGCCAAATCAACTCTGTCTAAGCCCCTTCTGGTAGACATTAAATAAATCCTCTTCAGCCCCTCTGCTACAGTGCACTGCTTCCTGAAATCTGATCTGCGGAAAGAGAATAGAAAGCACAAGAGAGATAAGAGTGCATTACTTACAGGGTCCATTTTCCTGGTTCAAGAGTAAAATGAAATAAGAACACAAGGAAGGTTTCAAATGAGAGGAGACCATTCTGTCCACCTAGCTCGTTCACATTCTTGTAGATAACTGATCTGAGGATTTCATCCAGATGATTCTTGAAAGTCTTCAACATGACTGGGCCGTTTGCTCCATACTCCCACATCCCTTTGTGTAAACATGCCTCCTGATCACGGTTTCCAAATGTTCTTCCTTGTAGTTTCACTGTTGATACTGAACAATGTCCACTGGGTTGACTTTGTGGGTTTGAGGGTTTTGAATACTTGAATTAGTACAAACAGTTTTGACACTGTCTATTATGACCCATTCAAAAAGCTGTCCAATTGGGAATAGGCTAGAAATAGAGACAAAGAGAGAGAGCTAGTAATTTTTGTTGTAAAAACAGTGGACTTGAATAATACGTTTGAATGATTCTGAAATCAAAAACAAATTAATTGAACTGCTCTCTATGTGCAGAGACACCAGGACCACAACTTCCATAAGAGGTATGTATATGGAGTGATACTGGGTGTCTTAACTACCTTTACTATCGTCTTGTTGTATTGCTGGGTTAAATATGTTCAACTCCAAGTCTTGCTTCCCATCAAGCTGTAAAATTTCACTGGCCTGTTAAATGCTTTTATGAGTTTATAGCAGCATCTTTCTGTGCCGATGACTAAGATCAGATCCTTTCCATTTTCAGCTTTCTCTTTGAATTTCAACAGACCGTTTTTCAGGGCTAGTCCTCATGCCCGTTTGTGCCGAACTCTTTCACCTCTACCTAGGTTGAAAAAAACAAGGATTTGTGCAAACATTTTGGGAAGGTTTTGTTCAATACATAAACAAATAAATAGGCTCTATCTAATCTGTAAGACAAATTATTTCACAAATGGTTGTGTGACATTTTTTCTTAAGAAAGCATGCTATGTCCAGACACATTGCTGTGGTGAACTCTGAAACTCATCTCTGAAATTCACCTTAGACCATCCCATGCCTCTCGGTTCGAGACTTGTCCCGGGAACTGACATGCCTAATAGCTGTCTCTTTTAGCATGTTCTCTCTCTATGGGCTAGAGGTTCAGTAGGCGAAGGCTGAAATGATGGCTTTGTCTCTTGAAGGATGGACCAAGTTTGCTCGTTTGACGCGAGCGCTGACGAACAGCCGCAGTGTCCTACAGCAGCTCACGCCCATGAACAAGGCCGAGGTGAGCCACAAGCACTCCCGGCTGGCCGAGGTGAGTCTGGGGGCGCTGGCACAGGCGTGAGAACATAATGTAGCGGAGCTCGTTCGGAGACGGTGACGTCACCCCCCTCACTGCACGTAGCAGGGACCTCGGCTGCCGGGGCTGGGGGGGGTCTCCTTTAGCTCATGCGGCTGGTTCCCTGTTGCGTTACGCCGGAGACCCGGGTTCGGGCCCCAGGTGCTGCGGGACGGAACGGGTGGTGGAGAGGGCACGAGCCCGCGCGGAACCGCGACGGTCAGAGTAAGAAAAGTTACAGTGGAGGCGGTAGTTAGCAGCTATTGATTCAATGATCTTGTCCACCTTTTCTTGAAGGAAGCCAAAGCTTTGGCATCAACCATTAGGTTGGATAGCTTGTTCTGTATTCCTACAGCCCTATGGGTAAAGGATTGTCCGTTTTAGATACACTTCCGCCTAGTTTCCTCTCGTGTCCTATTGATCGTGTTTCACAGTTCATTTCTAAGAAGTCCCCTGTGTTGACAAATAGTTCTCTGACATTGATATCCTGGCAGTAGTCACTGACACCCTGACACTGCACTCAGTACACTGCATTGCAGACCTTGGCCTAGTAATTACAGTAATCTCTAATCGATTGCAGTTGCAGTGTAATGGTAGATGAATCTCAGCACGTCTCCCTCTTTAGAAATATCAGTGATAGGTCATTGAAACCATTGCTTGTCATTCATAAGTTGTAATTTATTTGTCGTACAGTATGTATGTTTGATATCATTCGTGACAGGATACTTTTACAGTTAAGATATACAGTACTACAGGTAGTATATTTGTATTACTGTGTAATTTGTTAGTATTACTGTATTTTGTGTAGCACGTTTGTCACTGTAATTTGTCACTGTAATTGGAAGTTCAGCAAACAATGCTGTGGCAGTAATAATCAGCACTAGGTTTCCTGGTTGAGTGTTCACTGGACAGTCTGAGCCAGAGACAACCTGGCAATGACAGCAGAAAGACTGTTTGTTAATTAAAAAGCAGCGCATAAATTATGCATCAAGCAGCTGTGTATTTGGAGCAATAATTGTCAGTTTCTGTTTATACATTATCGTTTGTAACAACATAATCTAAATTACGGTCCCAAAGCCCTGGTTTGGCTTTGCACAGCCTTTTCCAGTATTTATGTTATTAATACTAAGACATCAGTCCAGCATTGCTTTTTCCAGTCACACATCCAGCTTACTTTAAATTACAGAATGTTACAAAAAGACCTTCCATTTTAGAAATCTGCTGCGCTTACAAAATCTGCAAGGAATTGCTTTAAAAGCCTTTCAGCCAGCATCACCACACTGCTAATAAAACTATAGCCTGTCTACCAGTGCACAGAGGAAAATGAGACATAGCTGCATAGTGTATTCTACTCCAGAATTTAACTGGAATTGAATCAACCTCACATATGCCTGGCGGTTTTCACACAGCCCTTTAATAAAGGTATTGTTGTGTCCCTTGAAATGTTGTAGAACGTCACTGAATACCTCTTGGCCACTGGGCATAAGATGAATATTGATATTCCATAAAGTGTTCATATAAAAATCTTCTCATCCAGCAGATGTCTGTGCTTTGTCCTCCTCTGTTCCTGCAACCTGATAGCAGGATCCTTCAGAGACAAAACTACCCAAGCCAGATCTCTGTGTGCTCCCCCTTGCCCACTGAGCACTCGGCCCCGTGCAGATCGGGTCTCACCCGGGCTCAGCCGGGTCACATTGCAGGCAGATATGATCGTGAGCACTGTGAGAAGAAAGCAGCTGCTGCCTAACAGGTTGAGATACAGACAAATGGAGCTACATCCCGCCATCCTCTGAATGAAACCTTCAGCCTCTAGTTTTGCCCTTTTCATATTCGCAGCCCCCACCCCGCCACTTGGTTGGTATTAATATTTCATGGGGGTGCGGGAGCTGTGCTACCAGCCCTGTTGTCAGGCACTGCTGCCTACACTGGTTTCCCCACCAGCCTCTGACACATAACAGGCTCTCTGTGGCTAAAGACTCAGGCTGTTTGCGGGTGTCAGTGCTGGAATCCCATTAGCATTTTAACTGAGAAACAAATTAAAGCAATATGTCAGGGCTTCACCCTCTTCAGTCTGAACAGCAGAGTCTTCTGCTGGAGAGATACAGCACTTGCTATTGAGCATCCTTCAGTGCTCAATTACTCCCGGCTTAAGCACCATTAGGCTTAATCTTCTGATCTTTCTCAAAATCAGTAATTACCCTGCTATGCTCTGGTACCTGATATGTTGCAAAATATTGGTGACCTTAGGCAATTTAAATCATAAGGCAAATTACAGTACTTGCTTCAGAAGTAATTTACATTTCCCGGCATAAAAAAATGTAAAGATATTTATTTGTTAAAACCTATTTCATGCTGTGATTACAAAGTATAGCAATTCATTGTTGTTTGCGGAAGACCCCTGCTTATTTAGACGAATTCCCATACAGCTAAATATTTTCTTATCTAAATAAAAAAATACCACTTTGAAACATGAACTGAATTTGTGAAGCTAGAAAAGGTATTTTATGAAAGTGATGCATTAAGAGTCCTCTAATATTTTACCTTTATTCAGCAGGAGTGCAGATAATATAATGATAATATCTTAACATGAGTAACTGTCTTGGATCATTTGAAGAGAGCTACTGTTCTGCTTTCTGTGTTTAATCCTTGTTTTGCAACAGGGTCACACAGTTTGATACTCTTAAATTTGATTTAAGAACACTTGATTGTCTGGGGAAGCTACTGAAAATAGTCCAAAAAGGTGAAGAGATGTTTGATGTACTGTACATAAAGCATAAATAAGCACAATATTTTTTTTCTTGTGGTTAAAAGTCTGATTGAATATGAAGGCCTTGCTCTGAATAGTGACGAGACTTTACTATTGAACATAATTTAATATATAGAAATTGGTGCCCTGTATAATTTCTCACATTCTTTAGATCCTTGAATTGCTATTGTATTCGAAAAGAAAGAGTTCTCTTCAGCAGCAGCATTCCTATCCACCAGGGAACATTAGACAGATGTTTTTGAACAAATGAGCTCAAGCTGTATGAGATAGGATAACTACAGGGCGCTGCCACAGTTAATAGGATCTAAGCGCCTGTTGTTTCTTGCTGCATTCTCTCATTGCTGTAGAAGGATTTTTGCACCCATGTGTATAATAAAAAATCTTCAGAGAAAGGTCACACTGTCTAGGAATCAGGAATTCTTTTAGTTAATTGTGATTTACAGCTGAAACAGGAGTTCTGTGAAAGCTGGTTCCGTGAATATTGATCGCGGTGTGTAGGAGAATGTTACCCCATGCGCAAACGTGATTTACAGTGAAATACAAGAGGGGCTTCAGTGTCTCTCTTGAATAAGGCAGTGTGCTCGGGACCCCAGAAGGAAAATGAGCAGGCAAAAGGGAATCATGATACAGTGCCAGGGTGTTTTTCTTATTCCTGTCCCTAAGAGTACCTCAACAAAACTGATAAAATCATTTGTTTATTGAAGCAGCAGATCAGCAGATCAGCTAGACCTAAACACAAAAATCAGAACTAACCACACAGGAAAAAATGTACTAATCTCAATCCAAATAGAAAGTACTTGCTATGGCTTAGTTGTAATGTTCAGGGACACTGTAAAGTTTCATATTTTTGATACGGTCTACTGTAACTACCCTTTGGTGATTACTGTCATGATTTTGCAAGAGCAAAGTCTTTATGTGACTTGTCTATGATTTCAGGTTCTTCAGCTTGGATCGGATATCCTTCCCCAGTACAAGCAGGAAGCGCCGAAGACGCCGCCCCACATTATTCTGCACTATTGTGCTTTTAAGACTACATGGGACTGGGTGATCCTCATCCTGACCTTCTACACAGCCATCATGGTTCCTTACAATGTGTCCTTCAAGACCAAGCAGAACAATATCGCCTGGCTGGTTCTGGATAGCGTGGTGGACGTTATCTTCCTGGTGGACATTGTGCTGAATTTTCACACCACCTTCGTGGGGCCCGGTGGGGAGGTCATTTCGGATCCCAAGCTGATCCGCATGAACTATTTGAAAACCTGGTTCGTCATAGACCTGCTGTCCTGCTTGCCATATGACATCATAAATGCCTTTGAGAATGTGGATGAGGTACGTAGGAATTTTTGCCTGTCATTTTTCCTGCCATAGAAACGTCATGGTTGGCATCCTGGAGCTACAGTATCTATTGATTTTATTTTTCATATAAATGTGCAAAACGCTAAAAAAAAGTCAAGTGCAGAGTCAATGATAGACCCAGTGAGTTTTACAAATGACATGCTCATTGCTATCTTTTCTAAGATCGCTAAGACTTTAATACCTAGGTGTGACCCGTCATGCGTGGATCACTGTGTCTGTGCTTCCAGAAGGTGACGTTGGCAGTTTCTGTGGCTGGTTCTCTGTTCAATGTGTTTTTCATTGGCCATGGCCAGGAAGGAGAAATCCTTGACATGCGCAAAGGTGGCAGGGTCTCTTCACTGATTCAGTGGAAATGGGATCTTATTAAGAGGTCGTAGGTCATGTTGGCAGCCCGTGATTAATTAACTTGTATATTTGAGTGCCTAGTAAACCTTCACAAAATATACCGTCTTATGTCTTATGTTTATTGACAGAAATGAAACTCAGTTTATCCTCATGGTCACTTTATGATTGTAAGGTTTGGAGGTCAGCACTATATATCAATTTATTGTCTTTTGCTGAATTCCTGAGAGAAGTGTAAATCTGTGATTTAAATCTTGAACTATTTGCACTGGGAATAGATACCCATCAATTGACCGGCCTTTGGCCCCATTATGACCTCCAATTCGGATGCTTCCTGAACATCATCTGGTAGGACTGTACACTCTACACACAGAGATGTGGAGGTGGATGAGAATGATTGTTCTCAGGGGAGGATATGTGATATGAACACGACGGAAAACTGTATATAAAGCTGTATAATTTGCACTGCTGTGTATTGATGCCTTCTGCAATGTCCTTCTGTGCACATTAATCTCTAGAAGGCGTATTGTGTAGTTGAGCATTTTTCTTCATGCCTCTACACTGTAGACTGATATATGTTATCGCTGGGATGCAGGAAACCTCATGACATGTGATGTTATATTCAGACCTACACGAGGCAAGAAAATAATGAGAATCTCCCATCATATACTCTTGAAGGTCCACAGTGAAAACAGAGTTAATAAGACACTGCACCGCTATCTGTGTTCATGCGCTTCTCTGGGTGAGAAGTGTTTTAGTCATCCACATTTCTTGTTCTAGCGATGTGGAGTCCTATCCTTTTTGAAAGTGGGAAATAACAGTGTTCGTTGTTGTCGTTGTGTGGCTTAACACAAATCCTTACATATTGTGTAAAACTGTCATCAGTCTTTTATTGCAGCTGACTGATGGGATTCTTTGGGTTGTGGTTTCTCAGTCAATGCATATCAAAGAACTTCAGCTCTAAAATAGTTTCGCACCCCCCCATTATTTTGAATTCACACAGTCGTGCTCTAAAACAATCAGTCCGTTTCCCTTAAAATGACATTATCCTGGAATCTGTAATCTAAAAAAAGAAGGTTTTCATCATACATACAGTATGTCTGTGTAAGATTGTCTTTTCAGAATGCACCATTATGTTTTTTTCTTAAAAAATAACAAATCTTGAGGTGAACTATTAGTTTTTCTTTATAATTTATATTTAATGTTGTCATTTAGCTCTGTTTTTATCTCCACAGCACTTAGCTCGATCGGGTGGTTATAGATCTCTCATTGAAAGTCAACCACATTTTCACACAAGTATCCAATCCATTTCAGCCTCATTCAGATTACAATTCATCTACTTGAATCTGGATTAAATCTAGAATAAAGTTTGTTAGGAACACTCAGAGCCTCTGGACTCAGGGTCTGGAATCCAGCAGGTGTCCAATGTCTCTTGAAATCTTCAACAGCTGAAGCTTTTGGAAAAGGATCAGTTGGTTGTGTAAACCTGTAAATGGATCAATTTAGCTCTTCTCCCAGGAGTGAAACTGTTTATAATTGACGGAGACACAGAAAAGTTGCTGGATTCTGAATCCTGAGAATGGGAGTGAAGACGTCATGAGTTAGAGATGGTTAATGTTTTTTACACTGACGGATCACCTCACAGTCCCCCTGGAGACTGGAGGACTTTATCTAGGTTAGCAGTAACCTGGCTGCAAAGCTTTTCTATATCTTCCAATTATTCTGTGTGTATACAAATTCAAATGAGTGCTGCATACCTACCCATTTTACTGCTCCAAAAGGTTTTAATGAAATATCACCCAATAAAAAGTTAAAACGTTAGTTATACACTTTTACTTGGTCATGAATGGGGTTTAATTTGCATTTTCACAGTGAAGCTCTTGAATATTATCAGAGAGGTAGATTTAGCATTTCCTTTTCATTTTGCTTTAAGAAATATACTACCGTGAACTTTTAGACATCTTAGATATAACCAGGAGTTACTGTCCTATAAATACAGTATATGTTATGAGTATCAGCAAATCATGAGTGTCAACAAATCACTCAAAGTCTTGACTAGTTTTGTCAAACTGACTGTTAGAATGCAGTTTAAGAATAAAGCAATCTTGTCATTTAGCATATTTAATACACCTGAGAATCTTCATAAACTCATTCATGTCAACTCAAAGCAAAATATTCATGAGCGGCCAATATGAAGTGTTGTAGCAGCTAATCCATCACGTTGACAGATCAAATTGTACCGACATTAAAAAGATTTGCTCCTCCCTACACATTCATAAATGCCTACATTCTGTTTTATAAAAAACAAATCTGTCACAATTAGTTCTTAGTTGAAAGCAAAATGGTTTTGATTTCAGTAGACGTTTGCCATAGAATTGTTTCTGCTCAATGGAAAATATAGACTGAAGAGAGAAGAGCCATATGAAACACCTAATACTTTACACGGCAGTGTAAATCTAACTATAGTAAAATAAATTTCAGCATCCTAATATATCTGCACGATCTGCCACATCATACAGTAGCTACATAGCGCAGGAAACCTTTCCAGACGTGAGCCATTATTTTAGACTTTGATTTCATGGTTTCCAAGGTTACGCAGATCAGCTGCTTCGCAGAGAAGTCAGTGAGTAAACCTTGGCTCCAATAAGGTCCAATGAAGTACTGAAATGACACTGTGAGAAACTCATTGTTCTACTGTAATCTCAGCAGGTGTGCATTTAGGCGCAACAGACTATGTATTCAATACCAAAAACACCTCCTCTACTTGAACTGAGAGCTTGTCTTTCAAGTCTTTTGGCTCTGGAAAGTGCTATTATTCTGCCAGCCTGATTAATCTTTTTTTAAATATTTATTTTACGAAAGAAGTAGATCTTCTCACTTGTATCCTGTTTGGTCACAAGCAAGAATAAATCTCCTTGTCCTTTTTTTTTTGAATGGATGGTCAGCTCTCTCAGCTGTCCTTTCCTCATTCACAGGAATATCAGAGAGGATTTTTTTAGCATTTTTAAAATAAGGCGCACGTCATCCCATCATGAGAGTTCACAAGGTGCAGTGCTCCACAATCTGACTTTATTAGCACAAGAGTGTTTTTATAGGCAGTTACATGAATGTCCATATATTACGCAATAAAGATACTTAGCCAACGCAGAGTTTTGACACTGAGTCAGAAGCAGTAATAAGGACAGTTTATTCAAAACGTGCAACTTTCTGGATGCCCTATCGTACGTCCCTCATGTCCGCACCTGATCTGTTGTGTATGGTGGCTGCCGGTGGAGAATCGTGTGAAATGATGTGTTGGGATGTTTTGGATAAGGTGGTCTACTAAGAAATATATGAAAATTATCATACTTTTCCTTACAGAATTGTGAGTGTTCATAGTTCATGTAGGCTGTGAGACATTTAACAGTTCTGTAGGTAATACAATTCCAAGTAGAGATAATTATGTAATATTTAACCATTTTGAATTTATCACCCAGCTGCCCATGCCTTTAATATAATTATACATATTATAATAATATAAAGGTACCCTTAATAGCCTAGGCAGTTAAATGCTGTTAAATGCTGGTAAAACTGAGTTTTTTTTTTATAACCAGTGCTGCTGACCCATGGTGACCTGATTCTGTTCTTGTGTATTACGTATAATCTAAAAAAAGTTAACCCAACCATTACAAATGTAACTCCTATCTACAATCCAAAATGCAGGCTGCAGATTCTTTTGTCTCGCTTGATAGAGGCAGATATTTTTATCTCATCTCAGAAATTGCATGGTAAGCAAACCGCAGTATATTGTGAATCTCGCATTCCTGAGAATGAATATAGAGGTTCAGTATGCTCCTGTCTCTCTCGAAGACAGTATTCCAGGTGCAGAACCTTCCAAATGAGCCAGGACTGCCCATGGACAAGGGGATCATGGACAATCAGGTGTCCAGCAGCAGAATTAAATTGTAATTGCCATGAGTGCTGTAATTTGTAGTGAAGTGAAAGTTTTATTATGAGCCTTTCAGAGTCTTGTACAGGAGTTGATGTGACCAAAGCCCATTCATTATTTACAAAGACATTGCATAAGTCTTTCCATGCAGTTGATTTCTGAATAATGCATGATAGTGTTAGTAACAATTTTATTCTCCTGGCTTTAGTCTTGTTCATTCATTTTTCAAACCCTAAAATTAAGTGTTGGTCCCTTGATAGGTCTGTTACTGTGGAATTTAGCCAGTGGTCACAAATAAAAAGAGATTTGTTAATCCTGGTATAAAAGTAGGTGACTTAAAAACAGTGCCTATTCTGTTTTGCCACTCTTGAAGTGAAAAATTAATAGTTTGGTGGGAAACAAAGTTTAAAAATACCATCCACCCTAAAATAACCTCAAAGCAGAACACAGGCTATGAATTCCTGTCTGTGGAGATCAAAAGGACAGGAAATCATCTTTCATCTGGGCCTCCTAGTTACCATAAATACTGAAAGTTACCTTCAAAAACAAAACTTTTCAAAGCTAAAGTACAATGGCACATCTTTTAACGCTACTTATACTTTTAAAACTACCAAGTAACTATCATTCAATGTAATCTCAGTGTTACAATGTTGCAGTTTTTGAATTTGTCCTTGCAGCTGCAATGAAAATTGTCTTTAGCTTTCAGTAAAGAGCTACTACTATTAACTTCCTCCATGTATTTTTGGACAGAAAGATGCTCAGAATTCTATTACGTTAGAGTATTGTACACCCGTTGTAGCAGAAACAATGCATTGCTCAATTCTCCAGGGCCCTGCAGAATTTACATAGTGAAGTCTCTAAACCTATTGTTTTTAAGGACCCAATTTTAGGTGCTCCATCGATCAGGTGACAGCGAGCCAGAACTCATGAGCTAAGAAATGCTTTTTCTGGTGGACTACTTTAGTTGCAATAACCACGTTATTAGATTTTTTTTATCAGCTCAGAAAGTTTCTCTTCTGTGCCTTTTCATCCCCGGGAACATTAAAGCATAATGAAAATACCGAAGACAAGTGTAATACTGCCGACTGGAAATTCAGGTGCTGCATGTTAGTGTTAGTGGAGTAGACGCAGATGCTGCTGTTTGCTATTAAAAACATCTTAATGGAAATAAAATCATCAGACTGCACTACCTACTATCTTTGGCAATGAAAATGTCTGTGGATGCAGCAGTAATTAAATATTGCTTATGATAAACACATACGTAACAACGCTTGTCACCACAGCACATTTTGGGGGTATTTTACCAAAATTAATGCCATTGTACAGGATTATTTAGAAATGTATCATTTTCATGGAATATACTGTTTCCTCTGACTAGACAACTAGACTGTATTTCTGTTGTATGGATTAGAAATTTTACTAATTTCTTGGGAGCTTTAGATTTTTGGGTGCCTAATTGTGAAGAGACATCACTTCAATGCACACAGTGCAGTTTATCATTAGTTTCTTAATCACTAAGCACGTTACATGCAATGTGTGGCAAGAGATCAAAGAGCTCTAAAGCCCTTATCTAAAGGAACTTTTCAGCACATTAGCTTTGAGCAGCTGAAATCTATATTAATTACATAATAAATGGTGTGTGTGAGCAACTGATCTTTGTCATGCAAACATGTACAGTACCGTAACTGCTTGTATAATTGCATGTGAAAGTGATTACAACTAAATCCAAACACATCTCAACGCGTACTGCATTTGTTCTAAGCCTCTGTATACTATAGGAAAATTACCCTAGTTTGATTGTCATTCTGTTAAACATACAACACCTCCTTTTTCTCCTGTTGTATCATTTGTAATTGCATATTAGCAAGTACTCTTCTGTTTGCTTTTACTTTGTCTCTGTTCCAGCATCCAAGCTTGGAAAAATACCATTGGAGGCTCCTAGAAGCAAATAATTACGCTGTCAAGGACAAAAAGAAAAGTAATTAAAAAGCCATAGCCTAATGATGGTTGAAATGTTAATTCAATTTATACAGCGTTTGTTATTTTTAAACACGGATCCACTTTCAGAGGCATTGTCATGGATCTGGCTACAAGTGTGCCTGTAATGGCCATGTTTATGAATGCTAATTAATAGATGCTTTACGGTGTCCACCCCTGAGCTTCTACTGCCCCTGAGCCACTTCCTAAGCTCAGTGCTCTCTCAGTAGATACTCTCATGCAGATGCTGTGTCTGTATGCATGGAGACAGCCTCTCCGGAGCAATGCAGTGTACGTGCTATGCTCCCGGAGAAAATGGGAGACTGCCATAGCATGAAAACGTCACCAATAAGATAATGGGAACAAATCAGATGCAGCTCAATTGAAAGGGCCAGCACAATGAAGATAATTGAATAACGAGGGATAATATTCTCTGATAACACTCAACATGCAGGGGCTGGGAGATTATTAGAGCTTGACAACATAATTAGCCCCATCAGCTCGGTGATGTGGTGGATTGGAGCACTGGCTAATGTGCCAAGAAGCCAGTGTGCTTGTGTGCATGCCTGTGCAGTATGTTATTTACCTCAGCAAAACCTTTCTTGTGCCACATCCCGAAATTGACAACATGTTGCCCCTTTGCACACTCCTATCCAAGTGGATGACCGGCTTTCTGTTACTCACTGCACATATTCCTCTGAAAAAAAGTTATTTCTTTTGAGATATGCAACTGTGGAACAGTTTTTGGAGACCCAGACGAGTGGCTATGAAGGTTTCCCCTGCAGCTCACTTTGGGCTCAGTTCTAAATCACTGTATCTGTATACAAAGGTCACAGAATAGCCATCTTTTCCTGGTGATACCTTTGAAGAATCAGAGTGGAAGCACTAACGCAGGGCAGATTGCAGGTCTTACAGCATAAGACTTTAAATTCTGCAACTAAGGGGCACTGTTTGACACTTTCTCACCAAGGAGTGGGTTGGGCTCAAACCTTGCACATAGAGGAAGGCTGATGTGCTGTCTGTGTGTGTAGGGGGTATCAGTAAAGTACAGCTTTCGGGCAAACAAGTATCTATTTAATGGTTGAATAATCCGTGCATCCATGTGTGATCATTCCTGAAAATTTCACAGTCTGGAATTGAAAAAGTAGCCGCAGATGCCTATAGATAACCATGAGCCCTTGTGCTTGTAAAAGCAACAAATTAACATGATGAGTCAGGTTATACTTACTGTACTGTAAACAGGATGCCCTTTATGGAACCAAGGTATGGTGGTGACCCTATTTATGGAGCAGGAATGTTTTACTGATGCTGCCGGAATGCGGCCTCCTTTGTCACAGACCAGGAAGTCAACTTCCGCTTATCCTTCACTTCCTGTTCTGAAGGCAGTGAACTCTGTTGTCAGAAGATGCAGATAGTTTCTTCTCAGAACGGGCTAAGAAAGCTGTCAATTAAGCCCACTTCAGAAGGGGAATTAACAAGTCTTCCATTTCCAATTCAAATGATTGCGGGTTCTTGAGGAAATTAGCTCAGAAACTGATGCCTGCTTGAGTGTAATTAGTACTTAGGCAAATAAGCCTTCTGATGGGTTACAGTGTGGCGTGGAGAGAGGGATCTCCAGGGTCTGGCTGTAGTCTTTCTCTCTGGGCTCTTTGTTCAAGACGTCTGCCTTGCGGATTGTGGATTTTATTATTTTCTTTGTTTTTTAGTATGGAATCTTGTTCTTACTCCTCTAGCTGTGCTGCTCCTAATTTCATCCACTACTAATAAACCAGAGCAAGAAAGTCGGAAGTAAAGCATTGCCATCCTGAGTAAACCAGACAGACCTGTGAAAGGGAAAAGCACATCGATGCAGACTCTTACCATTCCTTCCTGTCAATGGCCTGCAGTTCACCCATGGATTACCATCAGTAGACCGTTTACAGCCAAGGTCACCTCTTCCATCTTCCAGGAATGGCTATAATTGCAGCACGTAGTGACGTAGTCATGGCAGTGCTTTTTTATTCTAAATAGGTTTTGGGCTATTGTTACTATTGTCTCCCTAGACAAAGCAAAGTCTCTGAAAATATTTACAGTTGATATGAAGCTGGATAATTGTTTGTGCTAATCAATATATGACATTGTGATGGCATACTTAATATACTGTAGCACTACTTTACACAGTCATTTTTAAAGAAGCTCAGAAAGTCAGTCTTCCTCACTAATGAGACATATTTGATGATATTAAAGAAGTTCTTTATCTGCAATATCCAGTACAAGCACTTAAGTATTATTAAACATTATTATTAAACATTAAAACCTTTATAACTGGTGTGACTGGTCATCCCCCCCTCCTTGTGCACCATTTTTCTAATTAAGTGTTCAGTTCCTGGGATGTCGGGGTAGATAAAACCACCACAATGCATTACGATGTGACCATTTTGAATGCAGTGGGACATGCACCGGGACAGCGGAACAATGCATGTGTCTGTCCCCAGTGCAGTGGCCGTGATTATTGTGTCCAGCAGGCCTGACCCTGGTGTCCGTGTGTCTGTCCCGCAGGGAATCAGCAGCCTGTTCAGCTCCCTGAAGGTGGTCCGGCTGCTCCGCCTGGGCCGCGTGGCCCGGAAGCTGGATCACTACCTGGAGTACGGGGCGGCCGTGCTGGTGCTGCTGGTGTGCGTGTTCGGGCTGGTGGCGCACTGGCTGGCCTGCATCTGGTACAGCATCGGGGACTACGAGGTGATCGACGAGGTCACCAACACCATCAAGACGGACAGCTGGCTCTACCAGCTGGCCATGAGCATCGGCTCCCCGTACCGCTACAACACCAGCGGCTCGGGCCAGTGGGAGGGGGGGCCCAGCAAGGACTCCCTGTACATATCCTCCCTCTACTTTACAATGACCAGCCTGACCACTATTGGATTTGGAAACATCGCTCCAACCACCGATGGGGAGAAGATCTTCTCTGTGGCCATGATGATGGTGGGCTGTAAGTATGCTGGCTGTTTCTTTGGTCTTATTAGCTAGCAATTTATTTGCCTGGCGCTCTTGTCCGAAGCCCCCATATTAGTGTTTCCCCTGGGACTTGAACGCCCAAGCTTCCAGTTACAAGTCCATAACTCTGCCTGCTCCACACTGCTGATAGTATTCAGATGTACTTGCAGCTGATTCTAAATAGTTGACATCTTGAAATAAGTCAGTAATTTCTCCACTGTGTAGGAGCACAATTCAGAACCTGAAGTTAAGTACACTGGCTCCACTACAGTCAGACCAGGGAGAATATAATAATAATAAACTTTATTTTATATAGTGCCTTTAAAGGTGGCTTCTCAAAGCATTAATCAGAGACTCATTTATTTTGTACCTAAGCTTAACAAAACTTTCTCTTTTCTAGAAGACTCAGGTCTAGAGCAGGAGCAACAGTAGCTCAGGATACTATCAAACAGAGATCTGATCCATGAGTCTTTGATTTTGAGGCCAGTATCTACGAGTCTAAGTTTTGATTAAACAGTTTTCATAGTAGATTTTAGACACGACCGAGAGTCACAAGCAGGAGCAGCTGGCCAGGAGTCTTTCGTCATGTCTGGAACAGAGATGTCCTGCCACAGAAAGGACAAGAACTACTCGGGCTTCTGCTGTCTGATAACCACTGCTAATGTCCCTTCATTATAATCGGCACTTGTAAAAAATAGCAAAACAAATTAAAGACTTTATTTACCGTTAACATTTTACAATGCACATTTATTGACAAGTCAGACTCATTGACAACAAATTCTACTAGCAAGTGAGTGTTTCTCCATTCTGTTGTCAGAGCTAATAAAGGTATGAATTGATAAATAACAGATACTTGTCTTTACTAAGCAGCCTTCTTGTTTTCATCTTGTTAAAATGTGCAGGGCTGAGGTTGTCATCAAGGCGGTGAATGACTGTTTTTGATAAGCCTTTTCTGTATCAGATTTGTATTTTTGTGGACAAAAAATGTTGGCTAACAATATTGCTTTTAAAAGGTCGTCACAGTAAAGCATCATGACTTAGTGACATGGATGAGTTGGATCGTTATTTGAGACACAGTCATGCCCTAATTTAGAAAAGGTTATAGTGACTCAAGGACTGGTTATACTGGCCTGAAACCTGCGGTCTATTGCACAGGATCAGTCGGTGAAGGATCATTTTATTGGCCCTGTTCCCCACATGCAGAAAAACAGCCAATTAAAAGGTCCCCTGGTCGGGCCTAGTTAAGACCAATCTATGCTGCTGTAGGTCCATGGAGACATTATTAAAACTGAGATCTCATAATACTGTCACTCTGAAAGCCACACTAACTGCAGGAACAGTGCTGAGTTTTGCTCCCGTGTCACCTGCAGCTCACATTGCAGCTGACAGCTTCTTTATTTATTCTGTGTCATGTTGCCCCCATCTGTACAGAAACTCACATGACATGTGCAGGCTGGTCTTACTGCCAGAGCAGGGCACAGAAGAATCAGTCAGGGAACGAGCTTGCAACACCTGAGCAAAGCACAGGTCCGCCAGCAGTCAGATGGCAGGGACCGCAGAGCATGACTCTGAACTCAATACACAGACCTTTGAACCAATCCGTCCTTTACATGAACACACTGAGAGGCCTGAAGAATGCAGCACAGGCTATTGGTTCCAATTGTTGCGTTTGTAAAGCCTTTCAGTGTTGATATTGAAATGCATCCCAACTCTTTATTTAAGCATTAGGCGTCCTTTTCATTTTTCAGCCTGCTTGCTGATTTACCCTTGCAGAATTCAGTGTTTGAATTTATGGAAAGGATTTCTGACCCCATGGAGGAATCTACAGTAGGTCTTTGGGCTCAGTTCTAAAACCCTGTATCTGTATACAAAGACAAGGGTGTAGTAACATCGTTAAAGCTCACGATTCACAGAGTAGCTGCTAGTGAGATGTCATTTTGTGCTATTTTTAAGCAATTGAACAATTTAGTCCGTGTAAAATAATTTGAAAAAAGGAAAGATGTCTCTTGTGAACTTTGGGTTTGTTCTGTCACCGAAGACATTCCATCGTGATAGAATGGCTGCTTTACAAAGTCAAATAATAATCTCAAACTAATCATTGAGTTTTCAAAAATTCATGCTTTAGATTTATTTCCACCTTGGCAGATTATAATTATGTGCCTTTTTCTGGTCTGTATTTCATCAAAACATTTTCCCGAAAGAAAATACTGACAGGGCAAAATGCGTGCCGCAATATTTTCATTTATTTCGGCAAACAGCAGTATGGTGTTATTTCAAAGCTGTGAAATCTGTTTCTAATAACAAGAAGGTTCTGTAATTTTGTTCACAGACGGCTGCTCTGTGGGCAGTGCTTTCTACAGCTGATGCTGCAATGTCAAACCACAGAAGCATTTTGCTATTTTGATGTCCTTTGTAAAATCATAAAAACAGAAATAATGAAATACCTGGATTTAAAAAAAGCAGAAGTTCACTACTCTGTAATTATGGAGCACAGTGCTGAGCTTGTGTACGAAATCCTCTCTGAGACAGGCAAGCACAGACCTGCTGTACCTAATTAATAATGCAGATGCAGATGACTTTTTTCTCAAATTCTTTTACATAACACCTGCATGTCCCTGAAATGGTGCAGTTCTCAGTCGCTGCGAGTGGCAAAGTGATTTTGGCAGCTGCCCAGTGAAACACTTCTGCTTACTTGGAAGGATTAATATTTAATCTAAATAAAAATGCTTGCTTACAATGATGGCCCTAAAGTGGTAGGATCAGGTGGCATTTTCCATAGCAACTGAAAGCAGTGCAGTACCAGTCCTGGTGTTCAATAAGGCCCTGTGGGTGAAAGAGCAGAGACAACTGGCAGACTCTGAACACAGCGCCTTCCAAGGATTCTCTAAAAGTTAGATGTCTAATCTCATAAGTCGTTTTTTGCTTTTACTGTTTCTCTATGGCATTCCCCCAAACACACATTTGCCAAATAACTGCACTCTTAAGGGACACGATAGCATTACTTGGAACATTTGGAACATTAGCTACTTCATTTTTCTTCTGTCTTAATAAGTAGATGATGAGTTTTTTTTAATTGTAAATTGCTATCCGCACTGGCATTACAGTATGTGAGGAAGCTACAGTGAGTCTCATAGTTAGAAACCGGTCATGAACAGCTCCTCTCCCAGGTGTCAGGTTTCCTAATTTTAACCCTAAATCACATTGTTTTCATCCTTGGATTTCCAGAGCAGGTGAAGCTGTAGTCAAGAAAGCGCTCACACCCTCATGCTGCGCTGAGAATGGGTGCTGACTGAGCTGTGCTGAGTGACGGCTCCAATTGGGCCTTAGATCAGAAGCATTGAAGACTGTAATGCACACACACAGTAGCAATTGAATGAGACATGTGCTGTGAATCTATTTTTCTTCTTCTGTTAATTTTTCGTAGGCAAGCATTAACGGGTTTCTAGCTGTTTATGCTCCAGGAGACCCTCGTTGTGTTGCCCCATGCCTTGGAGAGGGAAAAAAAAAGGACAAAAAATAAGTTTCGGATTGCAACTCTTGCCTGTGTCTTGAGGAGTGCGATGACTTTTTGAGCTGACCCACAAATTGTGCTGATTCATAATCTCTGTCCATAGAAGTTTAACACTATTGTTCCCGTGCAACATGACGTGTTCCTCTCCTTTTCTCCAAGAGCTGCTCGATACCCATGATGTTTTCAGTTTTCCTACATCAGAGAAATGAACATCTTGTTTTAGCATCTGGTCTCAAAGCACACAGCTTGTTTTGCGTGTTGAGACGTTCCTACTCACTCACATGCTTTGATATCCAGACTAATATTTCTGAGCCGTGTCACATGACTCACAATCTGAGAGTAACTGTTCAAAGCAGAACCCCTTGAGAAAACATGTTCTGTTCTGTGCTTAGAGGATCTTAGTCTTCCTGTGAGCTTTTACAGTTAGTTTATTTATTTTTGGTACTGATGACAAATATTTAGAATTAAATTATCTGCACAAGGCTTAGGTTTAGTTTTATAATGCATTGACAGTTCTTGTCTTGGCAAATTTCAGGATCGTATTTCATGCCAGGCACCCAAAATGGCACAAGAATAATTTACAGGTATAGTATGTTGAAAGCAAAGCAGAGGAACCTACAGTACATTGATTCATGGTGTTACATTTTAAAAACTGTTTATTGCACTAGTATTAGTATTAGTATTAGAAATGGGTTTATTCCATGATGAAAAGTGTGAGAGGAGAAGGCTTCACAGCCAAAACGTTGTGTTTTCTCTCTTCTCTCTTCAGCATAGAATAAACCTATTTCTTGTTCCTTTGCAGACTACGCATGCTGATGCAGCTACCCACCTGAAGTATTAGTATTAGTATTTGTATTAGTATTAGTATTAGTATTAATTGAATGCACAGTGTCCAGAGGCTAGATGGAAATGTGATGTAATGAGTTGGTTTAGCCAGCTGTGGCACTGTGCTGTCTGGAACAAACCACCCTGTGTGCAGGCTAAGTAATGATTGCTCATCAGAAGAAATTACATAATCCTTTAGCACTCTGCACTACTCAACATGCTGTTTGCACCTGTAAACAGAACTCTGCAGTCCTTAGTTTTTATTTCCCTCCTAGCATGTTTTATTTTTTACACCAAGACGAGCCACTTCACGAGCTTTAATTTGCTTGGAAAATCTTGGTAGCTGGCCGTAAGAACCAGAGTGGGATCTACTGTAAGTGCAAGTGTATTTAAAAGTGAGAACAGGAGATACTTCCCAGTCATGTTGTTGAAACTGATACCCTGCTTTTTTCAAGATACAGCTGGGTGACATCCTGAGATCAACTAAATACTAACTCCTAAACTGGTCAGATGGGCTGAGATACCTTCTCCTGTAACCTTTCCTATAGTCTTCTTAAAAATAAAGTCATATGCTCTGTCACATCTTACATCAGTTGTTTTTTTTCCTAGTCAGCCTTAATTTTATATTTATAGGATAAAGCATGTCTGGTTTTGTTTTC